CCGATGAGAGAATTGTCACGGTTTGGCAAGAAAGGGAAGTTGAGCCCGAGATACGTGAGTCCATTCGAGGTCTTAGAAACGATTGGCACCTTGGCTTATCGTCTCGCACTATCGCCGAATTTGTCCCAAGTTCACAATGTGTTCCACGTGTCTATGTTAAGGAAATACGAACCGGATCCGACTCACGAGCTGAATTATGAAGAAATAGACATGGACAATAGGGTGTCGTACGTGAAAAGGCCAATAAGGATCGAGGACAGAATGGAACGAGTGTTGCGGAACATGACAATCCCGATGGTCCAAATAATTTGGGAGCATCATGGAACCGTAGGTGCGACATGGGAAAACGAAGAGCTGATGCGACACCAATACCCCCATTTGTTCGAATGATTGGGTTGGGTTGTAAATTTCGAGGATGAAATTTTTGTAAGGGTGGAAGAGTTGTGACATTCCGAATTTCGACCCATTTTTGGGATTTATAAAACGTGTATTTCGTCAGTGCGCTTATAATAAAATCTCGCTCAGAACTGATCACTCTTGGGTTATTTTTAAATTAGAGATTTCGCTAGAATTGCACTCGATTGAATTTGGCCGTTATTTAGAGCCCGAACTTTAATGTCGAATTTCTCAGAGTTTCGTGATAAATTTAATTGGACAGTGTCGATATTATTATGGCCAGTGTCGATATTGCCCGGGATAAGTAAAAAGTAAAATTTGGATAGGGTGCAGATTTGGATTAGTAGACCTCCCTTGTAGTGTATTTTATTTAGTGTCTGTGGGCCAAATCCTAATTTATAATTAGGATTTTTAGTGGCCGTTGGATCAGTCAACGAGATCGATTTGTGACCGTCGGATCGCACTTGAGTGCAATTTGACTCTCTCTCTCTCTCTCTGCTGCGCCCCTCCCCTACGCGCGCGTCCCTTCTCTCTCTTCCCCATGCACGTCCACTCCTCTCTCTCTCTCTCTCTCTCTCTCTCTCTCTCTCTCTCTCTCCTCCTTTTTCTTTTCTTCTTCTTTCTTTTCTTTTCTTTCTCTCTTCTTCTTCTTCCTTTCCCCTCCCCCGCCGCTGCTTCTGTGCCCAGCCGACCGTCGCTCACAGCTCACCCCCAACCAACACTGACCGCCGCTCGCCGTCGCCCAGTCGCCCAAGACATCGCCGTGCCGTCTCCGGCCGCCGCATGACCATCCCCTCCCCCTATTTTTCTTTTTCCCGACGCCTTCCCCTGTTTCGGCTCCAACGTTTCGTGGCCGCCGCGCGCCACCATTCCGACCGCCGCCACTCCACCTTCGCCACCCAGCCTCTCCCCTCAGCCACCTCTGCCGCCCTGCTGCCCCTTTGGTCACAACCACCTCCCTTCCCCTGTCTTTTCTTCTCCCTCGATGCCTCCTCTGTTTTCGGCTCACCCTGGCTCCGCCGCTCGCCCAGCCGCCGCACGCTGTCGTCCCAACTGCCATTGCTCCATTCGACACCACCTAGCACCCCAGCCGCTCGCCCGGTCATGGCCGAGCCGTTGCCCGTGTGTCCCGGCCGCTTGCCCGCTGCCCTTGCCCGTGGTCGAGCTGCCCAGCCGTTGCCCAGGCGTCGCCCGTTTGCCTAGGCCACTCGCCCAGCCATGGCTGAGAGTCCTGGGCATGGCCGAGGACCGTGCCGAGTCGTGGCCGGCCACTGTGCCCGTCGTGCCCTCGCCCGCGCCGAGCCACCACTGTTCACCCGGGTCATTTTGGGCTTGTGCCGATTTTTTTCCGGGCCAAATTTAGGTAAGTGACTTCCTAAACCCTACTTAGTATAATAGGTATTATTTAGACTTGTTTAGGGTGTGATTAGTATCGGTTTAGGGGCTAAGCTTGGAATAGAATTGCTATGTGAATGTGATTAATTGTTAGATTAAATTGTGGTGATTGTGTGGCTTAATTAGTGGCTGAATTGGTGGGTTCAATGGCTGGTTTGTCGTGGCAATTGCGGGTGATATTGATGTTTGATTGTGGCCGACATGAATGTTGGATCGGTGAGCTAATGTGGTGAGTTCCTGAATTGAACTGAATAGCACGACGTGTTAGAATGAAGAATTGTGTTGTGGTCGTTTGGAATTGGTGTTGTGATATTTGATTATGGGAAAGACGTGAAAATTGATTGAATTATGTGGTGTGTGTGTTTGCTTGAACAAGCCCGGATCGATCGGAGGGCTGCCAACTTGTAGGGTGTTGACCTGGGTTGTGAGAAAGGACCTATGAGGTGTTGATCCGGATCGTGAGAAAGGTTCTGGAGCGTGTTGACACGGGACAAAGCTCGAATTGATCGAAGGGCTGACCTGTAGGGTGTTGACCTGGGTCGTGAGAAAACTGGATGGATATGCGTGTGTATTGTACTTGATGGAATTGGGTGAACGTACGTGTGTATGGTGCTGAATGATTGTGATATGTACATGAGATGTTATTGCATTAATGTTAATGGACTAATATGCAAAGCTGGCACTTGGTTTATGGCGAGGTAAGCCTGATTGTGTGGATTCGATTGTGTTGACTGTTAGATTGTATGTTAGACTCGTCTGGGTACGCATTGGCCTAGGTGGGGTATAGGGTGTCTGCTTATTGAGATTTATTCTCATTGCTGTAGTGCAAAGCTTTTCAGATCCCCAACCTTGAGCATGCTGCCAGCTAGGCGTTTTGGGGTCCCCATGCACACGGTGCATGAGGAGACTGATTATCCGATAGGCCCGGATCAATTTTACATTAGGCACCTTACCATAGTCTGGGTAGATGAGGGTTTAGAGGACCTGCAGCCCCATACTTATTTGGCTTGGTATCATCGTATCGGGTTGGAGACTATTGGACCAATCCATGGTTTTGAGGGGCTTCAGCATGATAATGAGAATGCAGTGAATTGGGAGCCTTGGAACAAGTTTACTCTAGATGGCGAGGTGACGGACCCCGACGAACCACCAGAGAACCCCGGCCCAGAACCCGAGCTCGAGCCCGAGCCTGAGGAGGAGTCCATGGAGCCCGAGCCCAAGGAGGAGCCTATGGAGTCCGAGCACGAGGACGAGCCAATCGAGATCAACTCTGATACTGAGTCGGAGTCCTCAGGGTCCGATTTGGATTGGGCACCGTAGGACGATTTGGGTGCTGGCGGTCTAGGAACCTTTTTGGTAGAGCCATTTTTGTGTATTTAGTAGTCTACCCTACCACCTGTCTCTTTTTGATGATGAATGTGGATGCTAACCCTATAAGCCTAATGTATGAATTTTATGGTCTCAAGCTAATGAGATAAGTTTATTGATTTGTGCAAGTACTGCCCTTTTGTCATTGTTTATTGTCTGGGTTATTTAATTTCCGCTTTCGCTTGCGTTTGTCTTCACGTGTTTCATTTGGGTCGGCAACGCGTCTTGAGACGTCGCGTTCAATACGATCGTCGGAGGGGTGTCGCGAGCTCGTTGGGGTTCGGGGCGTGACATCTCTTGTCCCACATCGCCTAGGGGGAGTCCTGGACTAGTTTATAAGACTTGGGTCCTCTACTCTGTGTAATGTGTTTTTAAGCCGTGAGGGTCAGTGGGCCCAAAGCGGATAATATTATACAGTGTAGACCCCGGGTCCTAACAAATTAAAAGAGGGGTGCAACACCAGGATTTCGCAGGAGGTCACCCATTCTAATACTATTCTCGCCCAAGCACGCTTAACTTCGGAGTTATGATGGGATCCGATGCATTAGAGCTGTTATGATATCACCCATCTTTCCCCACTTTGCTATAGAGTTCTCGTCACTGTCATCCATTCCAGGGCCAGTGTCAAAGATTGAGATCTTTTCATCAGATATATCTAAGCTAATCAATCTTTTAGTTTTTGGAGGATTAGCCCACACAGCTTGCAATGAATTATGTATTAAAAAAGCAAGAGCAGTTTCAAAAGTATATTCTTCAGGTAAGCTCCTTCAACAAGTCTGTATCGGGCATCAAACCCACATACTCTCAAAAGTATTAGTTATGTTGCCAAACCCATCATGAAGATGCAGCATGTGAAGTTTATATGGCTTAAAGTTGGCTAAAATGATTCTGCTTTTGATTTGATATCCATGATATCAAAGGCAGAATCATGGATATCAAAAGCAGAATCATTTTCGCCAACTTTAAGCCATATAAACGCCACATCTTGCATCTTCATGATGGGTCTGGCAACACAACTGATACTTTTGAGAATATGTGGGTTTGACTCCCGATACAGACTTGTTGAAGGAGCTACCTGAAGAATATACTTTTGAAACTGCTCTTGCAGATTTAATAGATAATTCCTTGCAAGCTGTGTGGGCTAATCCTCCAAAAACTAAAAGATTGATTAGCTTGGATATATCTGATGAAAAGATATCAATCTTTGACACTAGTCCTGGAATGGATGACAGTGATGAGAACTCTATAGCAAAGTGGGAAAAGATGGGTGTGATCATACCAACTCTAATGCATCAGATCCTATCAGAACTTCGAAGTTAAGCGTGCTTGGGCGAGAGTAGTATTAGGATGAGTGACCTCCTGCGAAGTCCTGGTGTTGCACCCCTCTTTTAATTTTGTAAGGAGCCGAGGTCTATACTGTGTAATATTATCCGCTTTGAGCCCACTGACCCTCACGGCTTTAAAACGCGTTATACAGAGTAGAGGACCCAAGCCTTATAAACTAGCCCAGGACTCCCCTTAGGTGATGTGGGACAAGAGACATGCCCCATTGCCATCCGAGAAGCTTGCTAGAAACTGCTCCTTGCTCAGGCCAGAATCCACCGGCCCCAGCGACCACTCCCTACCCTCGTCAAACCGGGTTATCACACTCTCCCCCCATTCGAGCACAGCGTCCTCGCTATGAGCCCACATGCGGTTGGGAGTCGGCTTTGATAGCACTTGTGATGACACAGGACCCACCTTAGCACGATATTGTCCGCTTTGGGTCTGAGCCCTTACGGATTTAAAACGCATCGTCAATGGTAGAGGCTGCGAAATCGTGCGGCTCTCCACAACCCGATATTGTCCTCTTTGCGACGGCGAAATCGCCAGCCCCACTCAAGGCTTTGTCCTCAGCACATCGAAAGCTTGTGTGAAACGCGTTGTACTAGGTTAAGGCTCCTCAAGCCTTATAAGCATGCCCCAGGCTCCCTCCCTAGGCGATGTGGGATAGGAGAGGTGCCCCACCTTCCATGCGCACGTCTAGGTAGAGGTACGGACGCACCGCCATCCCTCTTCCCCGCACTCTGCCGCTTGGCTTGGGCCGTCACATGTAGCTTTTCCTTTTTTATCATAAACATAAAATCTCCAATGAACATCAGAGAGGAAGGCTCCTTTTATTATGATTCCCACACTAATCCCCTTAGGCAACATAATCGCAAAACTATATACACTAGCAATATTACGATCATCATCCTTAGCCAACCGAAAATCTATTACCAAAAGAAAATGGCTAAGATGAGTTTAATATAGATTACGGGTTGAAAAGCACAAATAAATTCTTCTTTCTAATTATTAAAGTGAAAAAACACAACATTCAAAGCCCATTACTTTCATTCACTTCAAGTGTAGAGCCTAAATCACTATCTTCTAAACGTGGGACAGAAGAACATTGAATTAGGACATGCTCTTCAGTGCTCTCTGAAGGGAGCAACGTCTTTACAATCGACATTTTACATCTGGCTATGAAATAGCCGGGAGCAATCAAGCACTGACATCACTGTTTTCAAGCAAGTATGAATATAAGGGAAAACTCCCAGGTTATGTCTGAATCTGCATGCCAGCAAAGTCACGAAGAAGCCATAGCCATGGTCGAAACAGTACAAACGAGTAAGAGAAAACATCAATTGAAAGCTCAATTCCCAGGAAACCTCAAATTTGATGCCCCCAAGTTGGGAAACTTTTGAACTCAAGATAGGAGCAGTACCAGTGAGGCTTTAAAATATAGAAAGCTAAAGCGAGGCAATCCAAAGCAAGTTGAGGACGAGAGTGAGGCTTTAAAATATAGAAAGCTAAAGTGAGAGAGAGAGAGAGAGAGAGAGAGAGAGAGAGAGAGAGAGAGAGAGAGAGAGAGAGAGAGAGAGAGAGAGAGAGAGAGACCTGGTGAGGATTTCTGTTTATAATGGACTGTTCCTTGAATTTCAGCTTACATGAATAGCCACCATTTCCTTGTATGCGCATAGTACCATAATGTTCGCAGTACAATTTTCCCAATGTGAGATTGTATATAGATGTTGTAACCTAAAAGGAAAATTCCACCATGAAGAACTGAACCTGAATAATCCAAAAACCATATAATACCCAATGATTACCTTACTCCATTGGAAAATTTCCCCGTCATCAAATTCTATAGTTAAAACGCCAATTGCGTCAAGCTGAATTGACCGACCCCAAAATTTGCTCTTTAAATTGCTGTCTCCCCAGAATCTCCATCCAGTTCCCTCACAGTGACATGCCACTATCATGGGATGATGACTGACCTGAGTGCAGAATTTGTCATAACTTTTCGTAAGACACGGTATACAGGAAGTTCAAAAATGAGAGATGAAAGAAAAGGATCAGTCTATCAACTTCTTTAACTGTAAAGTTTCAAAATTACACGTACGATTTCGAAAAAATACGGAAGGGCAAGATTATCTTATTTCACGATTTTCCTTACTAATATTCTTTATTGTTTTTTCATTATACGAAACGAAACGAATATAAGGCACATTATATAAACATGAGAACATTAGATGATCGGGTAATAAAATGATCGTTCGAGCAGGGTCATGCACAGGTCAGCAGAAGTAAACAAAAGGCCAAACTCCTTTCAACGTTACTTAAACCTAAAGATCCTGATGCATTGTGCACACGTAATTTGTCGTAAACAGGCAAAAAGAATTTCTAGATCTAATTCTAATATAATATCCTCAGGAACCAATTTCATTTTCGGTGCGAAAGAACATTAAACTGGACATAAATTAACGAGCAGACTAGCAGCACCAAATGATCGAAACGACATCAAAAGTCAGAGCAAGAAAACTGTAGCATAACACCGATAATGGTCTAGACTCCAACATCACCAACAGGCAACACAAACTTGCCAACTTAAACACAAACTCTCGACACGCACGTTAACAAACTCAAACAACACATGCACCATATGAACGTCAAAAAAGCATAAAAAAGGAAAAGGCGAAAGAATGCCTGAGGGAGCGAGAGAACAGAGGCGTGGCCAGAGAAGCTTGGAGAGGGCGGAGGGCGTCCATCGACGGTGGCTATGACGATTGAAATCGACAAAGAAAATCTGCGAATGAGAGAGAAAGATCTTTCAATGAGCTCTATGTAACTCCAAAAAATAGAAAAAAGAAAAACTAATGCTCTGTTTTCCCATCCTGTTATGGTCGATCTCGCCGTGTTCAGCTATGGAGATGCGACGACGAAAGCGTGGATGGTGATCAATAGATTCTGGCGTAGTTTGGTGGTGAAGAAACTTTTGGAACTCGTGGATCCAGAGAGAACTTTCGTTCTTCCCGTTCTGTGTATTCAATGGCCTCTTAGCGACGAGTCAGAATCCCAGTTGTTGAAGGGAAATCCAAATCAGATAACTGATTCCGTTGCGGACGTCTGATTCGGCGTGATCTCAGTCTATTTCGATTTCACCGAGACCGAGTCGAACCCTCTCTGTTTTATGATTCTTTATTTTTTATTTTTGGGTGCTTTTGCTAGAACCGACATTTGAATTGTTGATTAAAACTCAGGTTCCACTACACCATACAATGGAATGGTTCCGGTTTTTAAGGGATCTCTTCGAGGGGAAACCACAGTAATAGTCCATAAACTTCGGCTAAAATTCGTTTAGTGTGGACCTCAACCTAATCCTTCAAGGTTGAATGTAGGTCATAACCTTTGAATTTGTTCAATCTAATTCTTTAACTTTCCAACTACCCTTATTAAATTTATATTTCTGCTGTTTTATTTCTAAGTTTTTTCTTCACATAGATATCTACAGTCGTTGTTAATTTATTTAATGATATTCGTACTTATGTTAATATAAATCTTGTTATGTATTTTTATCTAAACCCCGTTCCTAATTTTTTAGATTGGTAAAATTTTCAATAATCTAAATCTTATTCCTAATTTTTGAGATTGATAAAAATTTCAATCTTACACTTAGACTTAAAATAGCAAGAATGTCCACCCGTTACAACTCTAGATGAGTTTTATGATCTAAACTTTACTTTTATAAAGACCAAAAAGGTAAAGACGTAAAAAAAAAGATATCCTATTTTTTGTTTATTTATGAAAGGAATCGAAATGAAAAGATATTCTAAAGTCTGGGCATTAGCGTAGTAATGAAAAGTTGTGAATAATACCGAAGGAATGATTTGACTTTGTCATAGAAATTTAAGGAGTTAGATTGAACAAATTAAAAATTTAGAGACTTCGAGAACCATATTGAGCAAATTAAAAGCCCAAGGATGACATTGCAAACTGCATCAAATTTTAGGAACTACTAATGTCGATTTTTTATCCAAGAAATAAGGAAAATGGTGCAAATTGCACAAAGCTCCTTTGAATTTTGGTGGAGTACATGTTTAAATTCTCGATTGCTATAGCTCACCCCCTTGATGAGCCTTCATTTTGTTACTGTTGTTTACCCTTTGTCATTTTTTACTGGCATGTGCAATGCACATAATTTTTAAAGGAGGAAACTACTTTTTTTTCATTATTTCATTGAAAAAGATATATTATAATAAATTCCTATTGAACTTTAGAACTGGAATACATCAATCCAACAAATTTTCAAGAAGTGTATGTTTCTTCAATTCTTTTATATGGAATAAAATGTAAAGAGATAGATAGAAATTTAGAGCCCTATAGCTAATTGCTGCCTATATAGTCTATGAATGAGATAGAAGCATCTTAAAAAATAGTTTACATTTAAATTTGTCGATTGTAACAACCAGAGTTTTTCCTTTTTTTTTTCAAGACTTTGCTTTTATTGAAATTGTCGCTTCTTTTGGCGACATAATGGTGATACAGGTGGATGGTTGGAGTGAGGATGATATGGGAACAGTTTTGAACATTGTTCTTGAATTCTGTTTCGCCCAAATTTGATCGTAAACAAAATACCTTTCACCAAATTTCTTTTTTCGGTTTTTATTAAGATCAGACGGATTCTACGGCGATTCCAAATAGGAGGAATATCAATAGAACACAAGGAATGTATATGCTTTAACTGAATTTAATCAACAACGAAGCCCAATGACATATAAAGCTTTGCCAGAATTTAATCGACGACAAAGTGTGATGACAAAAAGATACAATGCCGGAAAGATATCTAAAACTACATCTAAGGTATAGAAATTGAAAGATAATTGAAAGGTACAAGAATTGAAAGATAACAAGTTTTTTTGTTGATTGATTGGGGTCGTTTTACAAAAAGTACGATGTGACTATTTAAAGATTACAATCGACATTACAAATGGAGGTAACAAATGGTCATTGAATTTAAAAAGATAGCTTCCTAATCATATCTTTAAAAAAGATAACTTCCTAATTATCTACAAGAGCTTAAATATCCAAAAATATTACTATTAGGCAATTACACATCAATGTCAATGACTTCGTCCCTAGATAATTGATATTTGTTGTTGATAACTTTCTTGGTTTTCGATAATAATCTTCAAGTTGTCGACACTTATCTAAAAAAGCTTACATATCCGAAAATATTGCTATTATGTAGTTTCATCAAGTTGTCCACTGTTCATTTCATCAACGACTTCTACTTTTCACCAAACTTTGCTCTCATCGACAAAATCTATCACTAGTCGATTATAACAAAAGTTGGTCATTTCTCGGTATAAACAAATTCTAACCCGAAATGAAGGTCGAACTCGTCTCAAAGTTGAGAGCATATTAAGTATACTTACTTAAATATAGAATTTAACAGAATGGAGAAATTAATGAACAGGTCAGAAAATGCTAGAGTATAGAAAAGCATCCATATTAATAGTACCGAACGGCCCTGCATTATAGCTTCTTCTTTTTTTTTTTTTAAGCATGAGTATTCTCAGGATAAATATAGTTATTTTCCAGGTTTGATTCATCGGAGAGACGATCCTAGAAAGAGTTAACTGAATTATATCTAGATTACAAAAACGACTTATATTGTAACCATTAATCACCACAAAGTAAGTTGGAGACAAATAACCTAAGAACGCAGATTTGTTACCAAAAATTTTTCATAAAACAATAACTAGATCCACTGTTCCTCCAATGCACAAGAAAAATTGTCCAAAAAGTTTTAAACGCATTGCACCTTTGCCAATTCAGTTGTAAACACTTTAATTAGACCAATTGAGTACTAAACCTTTTAAAAATTTCCTAATGTACTATATCCGGCCAATTTTAGCTGGAAATGGTCCCTTGAACTGGCCACGGCTGCTACTTGCCACGTGCTGAAATGAAAGTGACACTCCCATCGCGCTCGATCCGTGTGAGCCCGGATCGTGTAGACCGGGTAATGAGACGAGTCGAGTGGGACCCACTGTATGTGACGGCTGATGAGCTGAATACGACCGCGATGTTGTGGGCTTGGAAATGACGGCATGAGAAAAGCGAAATCCCGTTTGCAAATAGGGCCTTTATGTGCGAATTTTATCCGAACCGTTTAGGTCGGTTGGCCGCCAACGAGACCCGCCTAGTTTCATTTTGCATGTTCTCATCCAATCTACCTGGACTCGAGTCCGACGAACTCTTTGCCATGGTAGCATTTTGTGGTAGATCGGACCTCCAAAAGTGGCATAATGCACAACCCAATACGATGAACGGCTCAATTTTTGTTTACTTTTAATGACTAAATACATTAATTCATAGATGAGTAGGATAGGTACTTAAACGATATTGTAGGGTTTAGAAGAAATTTGATTCTTTTTGGTAATATAACTGTTTGGGTTCGTGTTTCGGGACATTATCAACGAAATCTAAATCAAACCTATTTGATCTTCTAAAAGGGATTTCAGACGCATCATAGAATTTGAAATCTCGATTACAATTATATGCCAAGGTTAGAAATCCAATTTTAATCGTATTCTTTATAATTCATGTGGCAGAGATAACCCCAGTCTTTAACCCTATTTTTTTACTTGCTTTTACAAAAAAAAATGGAAACAAAAAGTGGAGGAAGATGTGTCGTATTGGAAAGATTAGGGAGCCAATTTGTGCTACTTCCAAATTCTCAGCGATTAATTACTTCTTATAAAAGCGAATAAAACATCCATTTTTTACTCTTGAAGATCATGTTTATTGCACATTTTGACAGAACGGAGGGCCAACGATCGGTAAAAGTTAAACGGTAAATTCGTATTCAGGGGATTTCACGTCATTTTTTTTTCAAAAGAAACGGCAAAAAGAGAATGGACAGAAGGCGTGGGGGAGAGGGGGAAGACGTGGGCGGTTTTCTCAATAGAAAGTAAACTAATTTTATCA